TTATTTGAATTACAGAGAAATTGCTTTTCTACTCAACAATTCATATACATTTTACTTCATGGTATTGATTGCAATCCCCACAATGCAACTCTTCCCCCTTTCCTCTTGTGTTTCTTCTTTCCATTTGTCCTTGCTTCCTCTCCCTTCCTCTACTCATTATCCCTGGACGAGTGCTGTTCTTTGGATCTTCATGGCTGATTGCTCTAAGAAAGGTTATTTCTCCCTGGTTGGTAGTATTGAGCTCTCATGGGATAATGTGTTAAATGTGCTACTAACCAAAAGGTCAGCAGTTAGCCTAGTGGCAAGAAGCTCCACTGCAATCCTGAAGGCACAGGGTTCAAATCCACCAAGTGCTCCTCAGGAGTAGGATGGGCAGTCTCCTATCATGTGGTTAACTGCCTCTGAAAACCTGCCAGGGGGTCAACTATGGGTCAGTTCTGACTCCGCAGTACACAACAACCAGATGAGTCCAAAGGTGCTTCTGATTCAGACGATGGTCTTTCCAATCACTTGCTATGTATCTGAGAGCTGGATAATGAGTAAGGATGACAGAAGAATTGATGCCTTTTAATTGTGGTGTGGGAGAAGAGTGCTGAATATCCTGTGGCCTGCCAAAAGAACAAACAAACATGTCTTGGAGAAAGTGCAGCCAGGGTTCTCCTCCGAGGCAAAGATGATAATAAAGCTTTGCCTCACATACTTCAGGTATGTTTGCTGGGAGAGGCTATTCCTTGGAGAGAGACATCATGCTTGGAAAAGCACAGGATTAGCGAAGGAGAGGAAGTCCCTCAACCAGGTAGGCTGACACAGTGACTGCTGCAATGGTTCCTGGTGTGTCAGGAAGTCAGCTATAACTCACTTCCAACTCGATGGTACACAACGACTGTGCAGAGCAAGGCCATTACATTGTAGTCATTTATGAAGCTCCTGGCATCAAACCTCTTTTACTTTATTCAGGGAGGTTCTGTTCAACTCTTGCCTAGCCTCTGCGGGCTAGGTCAACAGGTGCCAAGGAAGCGTGTCCAAACTCAACTCATCTCTTCATTGCTGCACCTCCCATACGTCCATTATCAAGTGGACCCAGGTGGTCCTGAGAAGCGAGTATACCAGGCTGTCTGCTCACCAGCCCCCTTTCACTTTGTCTTAATTCTACTGGGTACTGACTCTTCCTGCCTGAACGAAAGCAAAAGGGAAACTGCTTGCTAGAAATAAAAAAGTATGTCTTGACCAAACAAAACAAAAAACATAAAAGCTTGTCCCAGTGTGTAGGAAGCCATGCAGCCACCACCCCTGTCCATCTCTGGGACTATGCCTACCTCTTAAATCAGCACCTGTAAATCAACACCTTGGGGCATGCCCCTCCCTCTCTTCTGTAAACCGATAACCTAGGGCTGGGTTCCCTGGCAGCCCGGCCTACTCGCTGCCTATTTATAGCAGAATTCATCGAATAAATTTGGGCTTGATCAGGAAATCTTGTCTGGCTCCAATCTCTCGTGTCCCTGCTCCTCTTTTAATCCACACAGATTCCACTCTAGAACATGTATAAACCCGCAGGTCGGTTTCAGCTGGCGGTTACACCAGTGGAGGACGCCAACTTGGAGGCCTGTCCCTCAGGTGTCAATTCCCTAAAGTAACGTAAAGAAAAACACAAACATACACACACGCACACAAACCTTTTCCTCCTGCTACAGGTACTTCCTTCAAATGCGTATCTCCTATTCTCAAGGTATTTCTGGGTCTACATGTCTTTTCAAATGTAAATGGAGTAAGTGGGACTCAGGTTTTCTACCTAAACCCCCAAAACTCTATACATAGGGCTGCCACATTCAAACCAACAGCCTACATTTCTTTTGGACAAATTCTAGCTCCCCTAGAAGAATTTGCAACCAAGTACTGACTGATGGTGGAGTTCCACACTCTGTGGTCTCTCTCTCTCTCCCATTGCCATTGAGTTGGGAACATCTCACAGGTGACCCTGCAGTACGTCTCCAAGGGAATCCATTGCACTGGAGGAAAGTACCCATCTTTCTCCTGACAGGTGCCTGATGGATTCAAACCACCAGGGATGTGAGGCCTTGGGTTAGCAGTGCAGCTCCCAAAGGACTATGCCGCTGGAGCACACTTCTGTAATATTCAATACTTACATACGTAGGTTTGTTTTAGAACACTAAGGAGAAGAAACATTCATTATGCATAATACGTTCAGATAAACACATAACCTGTTGAAAAACATCCCAGCTTCTTTTTTTCCCCCAAGTGTACCTTAGTGGGTTTTTTAATTTATTTTAATGAAAGTTTACAGAGACTTTGGATTTCCATTAATTCATAGTTGTACAATTTCCTCCCTGCCCAACTCTCCCCACCCCCCGTTTGCTTTTCTCTTTGAAAAGCAGGGAAAAAAATTTCATTTTTATACAATGCCCCCCCAGTCCACTCCACTATGCAGCTTTCATTCTGGACTCTTGTCATGACAATAATACCTAATCATATATTCCTCCTAAATGGTTCTCTCCCTCATCTGTTTCAATGCAGTATACATTATTTATCCCCTCATAGTCTCCCCCAACTCCGATGTCAGACCCGCTTTACAGCAGTGGTACTATGCAGTTTTTGTCCTTTTGTGACTGAGATATTTCACTCAGCATAATGTCCTCCAGGGTCACCCATTTTGTATAATATTTCATGAGTTCATTGTTTTTCAACGCAGCATAGTATTCCAGTGTGTGAATATACCAGAGCTGCTCTAGCCATTTGTTTGTTGATGGGCACTTAGGTTGTTTCCAACTCTGCTATTGTGAACAAAACTGCAATAAACATGGGTAAGCATATATCTGCTTGCTTGGCAGTTCTGGTTCTTCAGGGTATATTCCCAGTAGTGGAATTGCTGGGTCAAATGGTATCTCTATTTGCAACTTTTTGAGAAAGCGCCAGACCGCTTTCCACAGTGGTTGCACCATTTTACACTCCCACCAACAGTGAATTAGGGTTCCAGTTTCTCCACAACCTCACCAGCATTTGTTGCTTGCTGTTCTGTTAAATTTTGCTATTCTGTCTGGGGTGAGATGATGTCTCAGTTGTTTTGATTTGCATCTCTCTTAGAGCTAGGGATTTTGAACACTTCTTCATGTGTTTGTTCGCCATCTGAATGTCTTGTTTGGTGAAGTGCCAGCTTCTTTTTAAAAAAAACAAAACAACAAACCAAACATTATCTTTCCACACATTCCCTACCTGCCCATTCACTTGCATGTTGAGCTTCTATCTGCATTGACCAGTAAACACTGGTCCCCTGTCAAACACCTCCTTTAGTAAATGGTTTTTGCCCCAAGAAAGTACAGATTTTCTTTTTTTCTCCCCAGTTGCAGAAAACAAAGCATACTTCCCTTCAACCAAAGTAACCCTCTAAGAACAAAAGTTCTTTCCAGGTCCTTCCTTTTTTCTCTCACTAAATCTCATGCTTTCATGAGTCTGAAACCACTGTAACAAATTCCATTTCTGCTGATAACTGTAAACTGTGTGGTAGAGGCAGCAGACCTCATGTAACTTCATGAAGAAGAGAGAATCGTTACCTGCATCAATAGCCCAAGGCTGATTCCTAGGAGGCGGAAGTCAGACATGCCTCCACTCTCTAGTGCTTTTACCAGGCCCAACACCAACCTTCTCTCCCACAGCACTCAGTACTCTGCTGGGTTCTATAATTCATTGCAAACACACAGTCTTGAGTCACACACAGAACTCGCAGACTTTAATCAATGCTTGTGCCGTGTATTAAGGAAGTAGCAAGTTACAATTCAGACTCAAGAATGCTGAGGATGCAGTTTTCACTCAGGCTAGATGCTTCTCAGCTGTGCCCAATGGCAGGCCTCTCCCTGGCTCCCTTCTCCTCTCTAGCTCTGTAGATTTGAAAACCTAACTCCACCAAATACCTGGAGGTGCACCACACCATCAAGGAGTCTCCTGCCGGAAGGTGTTTAGCTTTCTTGCTCCGTGGGGCTGGAGGCCCACCACATGCCCCGTCTCCTGCCCTGCTCCTGGCTCTTTTTCACTATTGCTACTTCTTATCATCCCTCACAGTCTCTCCTCATCTCCACTGTTAGAGCTCTGTGTTTCCAGCTCCTGGGTTGAGAAGGTTCCCAGCACAGGGGCCGCAGGTTCAAAAGACACAGCCCATTTCTATTTCATTGTCTTGGTTGCAAGGTCTTCCTGGTTACTTCTGGGATGGCTCATTTTAAGTCTAAGGGGATGACAAAATTGACCAATCTCCTCATTAGAGTTCTATATACCTTATTTGCATGGCTTCACCCCTACAAGTGTGCTATGCACCTTATTTACATTATTAACAAGCTAGCCAATCCTCTGGTGGGCCACAAGCATATCATTTGCATACTCCACTAGTTGTTTTTTAGGAATTACAAAGACTATGACGAGAAATATTAAGTAATTCACTCACAGAAACCAAAACAACAGCCTGGCTCCTCTCAGCACAAAAGCCAACATGAAATCTCTCCAGACTAGGCTGGTTTCAACCAAGAACAGAAAATTTAATTGGCTTTTCATCAGCATCTTTGCCTTATTACACTCAGAATTTCCCAGTCTCCCACAGAATGCCCCAGTAATTTTGGTCTAAGAATCCAAATCCAGGAGACAAGAGAGAGTGAGCTTGGGAGGGATAGGGTGACAGGGTGGGGCCCATTTGCCTAGAGGTGGATGGGGCTGGCTGGTCACCAAGCAGTTGTCCAGGCAGCTCATTGTCCCCGAGAGGAGGGGAGTGGCTTGAGGGGATAAGGAGGCCCAGCTGGGCAGCCTTTGTAGAGAGCCTGGGTCTGCCTTAAATACGCCACTGGATCTGGGAGTCTGGGCTCCAGTTCAGACACAGCCTCTGCCCTACTCCCTCAGGCCTTTGGAAGACAAACAAGACCCTCTTGTGGGCCCAGACTTACCCGGAAGGAGGCTGAACCCTCACTGCCTGGTCGACAGCTGCCCTCACCCGCCCAGCTAGAGCCATGGATAAGTTCCGCATGTTCTTCCAGCACTTCCAGTCCAACTCGGAGTCTGTGATGAACGGCATCTGTCTGCTGTTGGCTGCGATCACGGTCAAGCTGTACTCCTCTTTTGACTTCAATTGCCCCTGCCTGGCACGCTATAATGCCCTCTACGGCCTGGGCCTCCTGTTCACGCCTCCGCTTGCCCTCTTCCTCTGCGGCCTCCTCGCCAATCGGCAGTCTGTGGTGATGGTGGAGGAGTGGTGCCGGCCGGTGGGGCACCGGAAGAAGGACCCAGGCATCATCAGGTGCGGCCCCCTACCACCCAGCTAGCCAGGGGATGGCCAGGTGTGCCTCCACATCCCAACCACCCAGCTGCCCAGAGGCGCTTCCAGGGGATCCCCAAACTCCCCATGTGTACCCTAGATGCACCCCAAGTCCCAGCCACCCAGCTACCAGAGGTGTTATCAGAGCTCCCCCTTTCTCCAACTATTCACCTTCACAGACACTTCCAGGGGCACATCAACACCCCAATCAAAGTCCCTGGGTGGCACAGTTTGCCTTTGGCTGGTAACCACAAGGCTGATGGTTTGAAACCACCCAGCAGCCACACAAAACAGGCCTGGCAACCAGCTTCCGTGAAAAGCCAGCAATGCCCTGTGAAGCAGTTCTACCCTGTAGCAGAGACGGTCTCTCCAAAGGCCCCCAACAAAATCACAATCACCAGGGGCTCCTCCACTGCTCACAGCCACTTCCAGCTGCACCCCCAAACCCCAACAACCCCCATGGGCGCCATCATCTACTCCAGCCACCCGACCTTTAGATACTCCCAGGTGTGCCCCCTCTTTCCCCTGGGACATTGTCTGCCTATTTTCGTTCTAGAAACATTTTCCCCGTTATATGCTTTTATTGTCTTTTTACTCCCAAATCATTCATGCCCAACACCAATTACAATGCACATGTCTGATCATCCATCCCATCCACGTTGTCCTTCCCTGCTCCCAATCCATCAAGTGTTCGTTTATCAATTTTCTGCTCTCTGCATTCCCCTCTCTGGTAACTGCACTAGTTTGGTTCTGTAGGTAAACCTTCTCTAGCTTTTTACAGCAGTAGTCTTAATAGTACTTGAATTTTTTTTTTACTTTTTTCATTTTTATTGTCTACTTTTTCTGACTTTTTTCGCTCAGCCTAATGTCCTCTAGACCATTCACGTTGTGTAGTGTTTCATGAATTCTTCATTGTTTTTTTCTATGTTGCATAGTACTCCACAGTGTGAATGTACCGTAGTTTCTCTATTCCTTTGCTGGTGGGCGCTTGGACTGTCTCCATTTCTTCGCTACTTGAAAGCATATTTCTATTCCTGTCATCTGTTACCCTTCTGTCCCAGTGCCTGTGGTGTATGAATGATAAAGATTCCCGAGAATCAATCAGGTCTTATCAGCCGCACTGACCATGGATTATAACTCAAATGCATGATGTGCCAGGCCATGTTTTTTACATGGAATGAGAGGCAATGATTTAAACTAACAGCTGCCCCCTCTCTAGCTCTAAGCTCCCCAGGATAGAATTTCCTCAGTTGGTTTGCTGTGTGTGAGAGTCTAACATGGTTCATCCTCTGATTCTCCGGAATCAGTTGGTCAGCTCGCTGGCTGACCCTGAGAGCCAACTCTGTACCAATGGCTTCATGTGTTTCAATTCCCAAACCCTATCTCTATCCTGAGACCACTGCATTATCAGACTCCCTGAAACAAACAGAGAACCTGAGGTCCTGAGAGGCTGAGCAATGTGGCCAAGCTCCCACAGCTCAGAAATAGCATTGCCAGGGGCTTGCAAACACAAGGCTCTAACTCTGCAGCCCTAGCTTGAAAAGCTGCCTTTAGTGTTTGGCAGACAACACTAAGTGCTCCAAGTCTGTGAGCACCGGCAGGAGTAACTTAGGACCACTCAGGGTCTACTTTCCTCTGTTTTTCAAGATAAACAATTGTGTACTAGTCAGTCAGAAATGATTCATAACTGATCCTCCAGGGGTTTTCTTTTTTTTTTAATTTTGTTATTTTTGTGTGCGTGTACCGTCAAATCAGATCTGACTGGTACAGGAGGAGATTGCCCCTCCTTTCCCGGCAAAGCATCTGGTGGATTCGAACCGTGCACCTCTGGGATTATAGTTGCAGCTTCTTGCCACTAGGCCACCAGAGCTCTCCTTCCTCCAGGGGTTTTCAAAAGCGGTAATCACATGAGAGGAGATTGTCCATCTTTCTCCTGCAGAGCAGCTGGTGGATTTGAACTGCATACCTGAGGGTCGGCCGCACAATTCCTTATCACTAAGCCACCAGAGCTCCCATGAACAACTGATGTTTCCTCAGAGGTGTGAAATGGCATCCCTACAAGCCACCAGTTCCATCTTCTGACTGCATTGCCCGTCAGACCCTGGAATGATCACTGCCTACAACGTGTTAATAATTCACACGTATGCGTGCTCGCTCTGCACACAAGCTCAGCATGTGCCGTATTAAATTTCGTATGAAATCCAAGTCAGAAGCTTCTGTGCCCTGTGTGTGTGCAGCCTCTGCTTTGTGCACGTTCCCTGAGAGGCAGCCTTACAGGGCAGGTTACCTACACTGAGTGTCCTTTGTCCGTTCACCCATGGGTGCAGCTCCACTGGCCTCCCATCCTGTGACCAACACCCATTCCAGCTCACCAGAGGGACAGACATGGTCAGCCTCCTGAGATTGAGCATGGGGCAGCTCCCAGGATGCTGGAGGTGTGTGAAGTGCTGCCTTTGAGAGGTTAATAGGCTAATTAATAGGTTAATAGGGACTGTCTTAGTTACTATTCATCCTAAAGCAGACGCTGGAAAGAATGTGTGTTACCAAGTGAGTGGCCACTGTGGGCAACCAGGGCCCGCTCCTTCTGGGAATCCTCTGAACACACCTGTGAACCCATAGACCACACCTCAGAATTATCCCACTGAGGACGGAGGAAGATGGCCATTTATCTACCAGGTCCTATCTCTCTTGGGTTGAAGATCATCATGATGGTTGTTGGTTAACTCTCTAGAATTTCCTGCCTACTCCACTCTGGTGCAGAAAGAGGCTCCAGAGCCCTCAGCAGAGAAAGGATACGCTCCATCAAAGCTGTCGATGCCTCTGGCGTGGGCAGGATACCAATGGCACCTCAAGAAGGAGACCAAGTCTCTAGGATTTCAATGCTGGGATTCCCAGGGCCCCTCCCTGCCCTCTGCTACTAGGACCTCTCCTTTCAGACCGACAGCCATTGCTTTGACATAACACTGTCTGGTCTTTGCCAGACTTCCTGGGGAAGTCCATCCTTGTATCTCCCCTCTAACCCTCCTGCTGCAAGTGTGTCCTAGCTACCCCTCATGACCTTCTCTTTGCTCTGCTCCCAGGTATATGTGCTCCTCTGTGCTGCAGAGAGCACTGGCTCCCTCTCTGGTCTGGATCCTGCTGGCCCTTCTCGATGGGAAGTGCTTTGTCTGTGCATTCAGCAGCTCTGTGGACCCTGAGAAGTTTCTGGATTTTGCCAATATGACCCCCAGCCAGGTGCAACTCTTCTTGGCAAAGGTGCCTTGCAAGGAGGATGAGCTGGTTCGGAACAGCCCTGCTAGAAAGGCAGTGTCTCGCTACCTGCGGTGCCTGTCACAGGTAATTGGGGAGGTGGTCACCCCGATGGTCCCTTCATTGCATCTGGCATCAGTGCTGGTTCAAGACCAGAGAGCCCCAAACTTCCTTCCCTGAAGCCCTCGACTCCCTCCGCTAGGCAACCTCAACTAAAGCAGATACCCTGCACTGGTTTCAGATCGGCTAGGGTGAGGTATGAATGATTTCCTGAGGCCTCTCCCGCTGCTGGAGATTTAAGGACATGAACATAGCACAGTGTTGGCCTGTCATTTCCTCATCACGTCTGACTCACCCACAGCACAGTGGGTTCCCACACCCCCAGGAGGCTGGACTGCAGGGCAGAGCTGCCCATACACACCTCATCCCCCTCCTCAAAGGTAATAATTGCCATTTATTGCACACTTATGTGTCAGGTATTGTGTTAAGCATTTCAGATGTGTTGTTATTGTTGTTAAGTGCTGCCAATTCTCACACATGACAGAGCAGAACTGTCCTACAGGCTTTTAATGGAAAATCAGCAATTCTTTTTCCCTAACAGCTGCTGGGTTGGTTTCAAACCATCAACCTTTTGGTTAGCAGCCAAGCACTTCACTGTTTGCATCATCAGGGCCCCTTTTTTTTTATTGCATTCTTTAATTTTCAGAACCACTGTTATGAAGTAGATACAATCATTACCATTTTCCAGATAAGAAAAATGAGGTCCCAAGTGTTTATAGTTCAGAAGGCAAATTAAAGCCACGGCCCGTAAAAGGCAAGGCAGGAATCTGAATGCATATGTCATTACCCCAGACCCTCTTAACCCCCTTTTCTATAATGCAGGTCCCCTCTCCCTTCAAATGCTTCTCCACGGGGAACCAACTATGATCCTGGGAAGCCCCTAGGCTTGAGATCCCACAACTCGATCCTCCCTCCCACAAGAGCCCAGCCCTGGGCTCTGTCCTCTGAAAAGTATTTACATAAATCTACTGCACCTGGAAAAAGAATGCCACTCAAAGGATACAAATAATAGAGACCTACGCTTTCCTGTGGGAAGCTGAGACAGGCTCATGGCAAATACAGCTGGTGGTGCAGGAGAGAGAAGACCATAGGACACGCTTGGTTCTGGTCCAGCCTGTGACCTTGGCCAAATCTTCCGCCTCCTGAACCCCAATCTCTCCTACATAAAGAGGAAGGAGGGTTTTATCTTCTCCAGCTTGATGGACAGATGATTAGATGAGAATTGATGATGGGATGGATGGATGGATGGATGGATAGAGGAAGGGAGGGAGGGAGAGAGCAATGGATGGCCACATGGCTGAACAGATGTGGATGGAAGAATGAATTGAAGGGAGAAGAGATGATGGGTAGGTGGATGGATAGAGGGGCAGACTAAAAGAATGATTTGATGACTGGAGGATGGATTAATCTAAGAAAGGCTGGGAGTAATAAGTGAGGAGTGGGTCTTTGGAGAACCCTTGCCATATCAGACACCTGTCCCCAACCCTGTGCGCCCCTCCCAGGCCATCGGCTGGAGTATCACCCTGCTGCTCATCCTCGCAGCCTTCTTGGCCCGATGCCTGAGGCCCTGCTTCGACCAGACGGTGCTTCTGCAGCGTAGGTACTGGAGCAACTACGTGGACTTGGAGCAGAAGCTCTTTGACGAGACGTGCTGCGAGCATGCGCGGGACTTTGCGCACCGGTGCGTACTGCACTTTTTCGCCAGCATGCAGAGCGAGATGCGGGCAATGGGGATGAGTCAGGACGCTGCAGGCAGGGACCCCCAGCACATTGAGGTGCCCGAGCCCGAAGAGGGCCTGGATGGCAGTAGTGGGAAGACCCACCTGCGTGCCATCGCCAGCCGGGAGCAGGTGGACCACCTTCTGAGCACATGGTACTCCAGAAAACCACCACTGAACCTTGCGTCACCCCCTGGGCTCTGGGGGGGTGGCCTCAACCACCGGGTCCCCACAGCAGTCCCAGGTCCCGGGCTAACCCAGCACACCGACGTGTAGGGAGTATCCCCAAACCTGAACAGTGGCAGTGTCCCAAGGGAAAAGCCCGGAGGCGGGGGGGGGGGGGGGGGAGAAAACAGGACTATGGGCTTTCCAGGTTATGGGAACCCCAAAGCAGGTGACCTAACCCTCTCTGGCTTATTCAAAATAGCCCCAACCCTCCTCTGGTTTCTGGGCGTGGCCAACTATGTGTTTTATAGCAACGCTTCAAAAACTTTGATTTGCTCGTTCACACAGTCTCCAATTCAGCATCTAGGGCTGGGTGGGAGATGCTGTATTTTTCTAACAAGTTTCCTGATGTTGCTGATGTTTCTGGGCGGTGGGTCACATTTTGAGTAGTCTAAACAGATCTGTGGTGAGTTGTGGGCCCTAGATGTCTGGAACATAATAAATTATGGTAATAAAAACATTCTTATATGATGGTTATTATGTGTCGAGCATTGTTTCACTTTCTTCATACCTATTAATTAATTTAATCCCCGTGAGAGCCTTATGAAGTCGGTATGATTACTCCATTTTCCAGAAGAGAAAACTGAAGCAGAGAGAATTAAGTTGCCAATTCTAGAGGTAGCTAATCGTTTGGGAAGAAATTGCCCATCTGTCTCCCACAGAGTAGTAGATGGATTCAAACCATGTGCCTTTGGATTACCAGCGCAAGTCCTTACCACTAGCCACTAGCACTCCATACATTGTCCATTCTAGAGTCCACTCTGACGTCAGACTCCAGACTGGACTCTGAGCTACTATCTCTACAAATTATCTCTGAGTAATTTTGGTAATCCTTGTTCCCAGTGTTCTTTCTGGTTGATGTCCTGCAACTTCCAACAAGGTTCTCCTCAGAATTCTGGCAACCTCGGCTGGTGTTTTCCTCTGAAAAGTACTAGTTTGTGCCTCTTGCTGGCTGTTGAAGATGAATAGTTTTCTATTTTCCTGTTGAGGATATTTTCTGGTTTTGAACAATAAGGGACTGACCCTTTCGGCTATCTTCTCCCTGGATTCAACCAATTTGCTTTCTAGCCCTGGGCTGATTGGGCTGCCTGGTTCAGTCTCCTTCAACACCCAGTGCCTGTCTTGGCCTGGGTGGCCTGGCCTCCAGCCACAGATGCTGTCTCCCTTGTGACTCCACTCAGCACCATCTCCACACCCCCCAGCTTGTGCCCTACACTCAGCAGGACTTATTCCTAAGGATGCCTCCCTTTCTAACAGGATCCAGCATCAGTTCCACTGCCAGCATCCCAGAGCTGTCTCTATCAACTGCTCTTAGCAGGAGGTCAGCACCCTGGTTAGAGTTCCCCCTAGGTATGTGATGTCTAAAGAGATTGTAAGGAGCACAGTGTTGGGCTACTGACTGAAAGGTTGATGGTTTAAGTCCACCCAGAGGTGCTGCAGAAGAAAGAGCTGGCAATCTGCTTCTGAAAGATCACAGCCATGAAGTCCCTGTAGCATCGAGTTCTATTCTCCAGTACATGGGGTCAAGAAGAGTTGAAAACTGCTTGATTGCACCTTTCTCATTTCTCTTGTTGTTGTTGATGCCATTACGTTGACCGTGACTCATGGTAATCCTATGAACAGACCTAAACCCTGCCCTGTGCTGCACCATCCCTGCTAACTCTTTTGCTCCAGCCAGTGTCAGTCGGCCTTGTCTTCCTCTCTTTCGCTGACCTTCCACACTTCTAAGTATAATGCTCTTCTCTATGGACAGGCCTCTCCTATCATGCTCAAAGGATAAGGGATGGTGTTTCATCATCCTTCCCTCTAAGAAGCACCCTCAACTCCAACTCGCAGTGGCCCTGTGCACCAGAGAATGAAACCCCTCCCACCCTGCACCACCCTCAACCTCTGTGGTGCATAAGCCCATTGTCATAATCAGTGTGTCAATCCACCTCCTTAAGAATATTCCTAAAAATTAAAAAAAAGCAATTCTGTTTTTCACTGACCCTCCACTTTTCCAAGAACAATGTCATTCTCCAGGGAATGCCCCAGTCTGTCCTAATAATATACCCAAAGTATATACAATGGAGTCTCACCAGATTGGCTTCTAAGAAATACTCTGTCTGCCCTTCTTGTAAGACAAATTTGTTCTTTTGGCAGGCGATGGTATATTCATGACTCTTCACCAACATTACGATTCAAAGACACCAGTGCTGCCTCAGTCTTCATTATTTCTTGTTCAACTTTCACATGCTTGGGTCAGGGACACTTTATTCTTTAAAGAGACATCTTTAATGTTACCAGAAATGAGAAGAGAGGTACAAAGGTGTAAACATTAAAATACAGATTAAGGTGGGTAGGTGGAAAGGTAATATACAATAAGAAGTTTCTCAGACATTTTAATTAATTAATTACATTAATTAACTATAATTAATGTTACAAAACAAAATGTGGATGAATATTTGAAGGCAAAACCAATATCACTTATAAACTTTCATGCAAAAAAGAAAAAGAAAGGGGTGTTACAGTTAGTACATATATAAGCTGGATGAAGGGAAGACAACCTAATACAGTTAAGGGGTTGATGAGACATTGGGATGACTTTATTATATTAATTGGATTTAATGCTACGAAGCCAAATATATATAAGAATGATCAAATGAAAAATAAAGAGAGGGAAAAATATCCAAAAACATAGAGACCAAACATAATTTTTAAAAACCACCAAAGTGCACATCCAAAAACTTCTCTAACAAGGGTAAAAAGGGAAGCCACCGAGTGGGGAAAAAAGTATTTGGTAATGACATGTCAGATAAGGGACTTATATCTAGAATGTATAAAATACTCAAGCACCACAACAAGATAAAGTTAAATAACCCAACTGAAAAATGGGCACAGGATATGAACAGACACTTCACCAAAGAAGACATTCAGATGGCAAACACATGAATCCCTAGCTCTAAGAGAGATGCAAATCAAAACAACTATGAGATATCATCTCACCCCAGTAAGAACAGCAAAATTCAACAGAGCAGCAAACATCAAATGATGGCGAGGTTGTGGAGAAACTGGAACCCTTCTTCACTGTTGGTGGGAGTGTAAAATGGAGCAACCATGATGAAAGGCAGTATGGCGCTTTCTCAAAAAGTTGCAAATAGAAATACCATTTGATCCAACAATTCCACTACTGGGAATATACCCTAAAGAAATCATAACTGCCACCCAAGCAGATATATGCATACCCATGTTGATTGCTGCTTTGTTCACAATAGCAAAGAGTTGGAAACAAGCTAAGTACCCATCAACAAATGAATGGCTAGAGAAGCTGTGGTATATTCACACAATGGAATACTATGTTGCATTGAAAAACAAAGAACTCATGAAATATTATACAAAATAGATGACCCTGGAGAACATTATGCTGAGTGAAATATCTCAGTCACAAAAGGACAAATACTGCATAGTGCCACTGTTGTAAAAAGGGACTGACATCGGGGTTCAGGGGAGACTAAGAAAGAGAGGATAAATAATGTATACTGCATTGAAACAGATGAGGAAGAGAACTGTTTAAAAGGGATATATGATTAGGTATTATTGTCATGACAGGAGTCCAGAATGAGGGCTGCATAGTAGAGTGGACTTGGGGAGAGGGCTTGTATAACAAGGAAAGAATTTTTCTTTTCCTTTTCAAAGAGAAGAGCAAACTGGGGGTGGGGAAGGTAAGGCAGGGAGAAAAATTCAACAATGAGTGAATGGAAATCCAATGTATCTGTAAGTGTTCATTAATATTAATAATTTTTTAAAAACCCACCAAAGTTACATTCTTGCTGTTTTGCACTTTAAAGAGGTCCTTATTAGTGGATTTGTCTGATGTAATCTGTCATTTGATTTCTAGATGCTGCTTCCATGGATGTTAATTGTGGCTCAGAGTAAAAGGGAATCCTCGACAGCTTCAATTCTCCATCCATATATCATGATGTTGCTTACTGATCCAGTTCTGGGAATTTTTCTTTTGTTGATGTTGAAGTGCAATCCATGCTGAAGGCTTGAAGTGCTTCAAGTCTTCTTCACTTTTTGCAGGCAAGGTTATGTCATTTGTATACGGCATAATTATGAATGAGTCTTCCTCAAATTCTGATGCCATATTCTTCTCCCTAAACTCCAGCTCAAGGATAGAAATCTGTGAAACATCAGAGTTAAATCTGCTTGAGAATTTGCTACTCAGCCTCTGACAGCCCAGACCGGAAGGGTTTTTTGGTGGAGCCCCTCCCTGATGACTCACACACACATCCTGCTATCATCTCCATCAGTTTAGCTGTGTGTGTGGTGGCTGCACACTTACAGACCCGGGGTTTCCCCATGTTCTTTCTGGTCCCCAGGGCCTGGGGGTGCAGCACAGGAGTCCCTGGGTGGCCCCCTGAAGCCCTGCATCTTCCAATAGGCAATCTCTGGTCTCCTGGGCTCTTGCCAAGGGGCCCTGTTAGATTAGACATTCCCAGCTGTTCAACCACCCTCACCCACCCCGCTGTGGTCAGGCCATGCAAATATCTGAAAAGGCCCTGGGTGAGGCAAGATTGAGACAAAGCTAGCAGTGATTGGTGGAGAGGGAGGAGGGAGACTTTGGAGGTAGTCCAATCAGCATGAGCCCAGTGAGGGAAGTCACTAACTGTGGTCAATATTCTTGCCTTCTACAGGAGGCATAAATGCTGTAACTGAGGCAAGCCACCGGCCACAGGGTTCAGCGTGGAGAATAATTACTCCAAACTGGCGGATCAGGGGAGGTTTCGTGTAGGAGCCATCGAGTGGAAGCTCTGCTGGCATAGTCTGTGTAGGGCGTTGTCCTGCTAACCCAAAGGAGGCAATTTGAATCCAGCAACAGCTCCTTGGAGGAAAGACGAGCCATCTCCTCCCCGGCAATTTGCAGCCTCAGAAACCCAACCAAGAGTCAGCTATGGCGTGTTTCCGGCTCGACTACAGTGAGTTCGTGAGAGATAGGGAGGGTTTTGACAAATGGGAATAGAAGGAGGAAGGTCAGAGGACATCAAGGGAGGAAATGAGAAGGGATGAGA